TGTTATAAATTAATGGTAGATGTGCGGTTAAAAAAAAGGTTATTTAATAAGTTTAATTGGATCGTGGTTGCTAAATCTAGAACACTTGGAGGCTTGAAATGGATTTACTTTCCTGGTTTTCACAGTTTATATACTGCTGATGGTATTTAAAATTATCGGCTGATCTTGTACTTATGAAAGCTTATATTGACTTGGGTATCTTATGACCTGTTTGGTATGATCCTTGACATGCACAGTCGGATTGTTTGTGTTGTTGGGGCTTTGCTATGTTGTCCATCTTTGTACCAATTCCTATTTGTGTGGACTTCACTAGGATAGGATACCCTCCGGCCTCCTTGACAACTGACAAGCAATGCTGATAGTAGCCAATTAATTGTATCAACTTCATAATTAATTTGTTACCTATTATCTGCTTGTAGGGACGTCCGAAAGGGGTCACGCCAAAGTACAGCTTGAAGCCTCTTGTTCCTAGACTATCTGAACTACTTGGTCTCGAGGTTAGTATACTATCAACCACTATTTTTCTGCGGGTGAGATTTTTAGCACATCTTTTTAGCCATTTTTGTAAAGATGACATCTTTTGGAGCCATTTTTTTTGGGAAACATCTTTCTTGGCCATTTCATGTTGGAAAGTTGTTCTTGAAAAGGTCATTCCGGTTAGGAAATGGCTGAAGAAAATTTGTTCGGAAAAATGGCTAAAATGATTATAAGCATAGAACGATGGCTATTTTGACCTATTTGCTTTATTTCTTCCTCATCTTCCATACTTGATGTGCTTTAGGTGAAGATGGCTAACGACTGTATTGGTGAAGAAGTTGAGAAGCTGGTGTCTGCTTTGCCAGATGGAGGTGTTATTCTACTGGAGAACGTTAGGTTCTACAAAGAAGAGGAGAAGAATGACCCAGAGTTTGCGAAAAAGCTAGCTTCTTTTGCAGATTTGTATGTTAACGATGCTTTCGGAACTGCCCACAGAGCTCATGCTTCCACAGAAGGAGTAGCCAAGTACTTGAAGCCCTCTGTTGCCGGTTTCCTTATGCAGAAGGTTTGTGAATATGCGTGTTTTTGTGCTGTCCCTGTGCCTCTCTTACTACCTTTTGATTGATTGAAGAATTAAAAATGGTCCATTTCAACTTTACATAATTTTCTTATGTTGGGGACATCTAATGAAATTTGTATCTTAGGTGTTTGGATGTTTGGAGTCTTATATTATTGTGTAAATCAACATTTCATTGTCAGTTAACTGTGATGAATTCTTATTTTGGTCATTGAACTTTGTTTTCCCAAATTACGAAATATGCTTCTCTTGGGCATTTTCAGGAGCTTGATTATTTAGTTGGAGCTGTGGCCAACCCAAAGAAGCCATTCGCTGCAATTGTCGGTGGTTCAAAGGTATCTACAAAGATTGGTGTTATTGAGTCGCTGTTGGAGAAGGTAGATCTCCTCTTGCTCGGTGGAGGAATGATCTTTACTTTCTACAAAGCCCAAGGACATGCTGTGGGGTCCTCACTCGTAGAGGCTGATAAGCTTGATCTTGCAAACTCACTTATGGAGAAGGCTAAGGCTAAGGGGGTGTCCCTTTTGCTGCCTACAGATGTAGTTGTGGCTGACAAGTTTGCTGCTGATGCTAACAGCAAGGTTTGTAGCTTTCGCTTCAAGTATCAAATGTTGCTATCAGCATCTGCATATTTTAGTACATTTTTCAAAAATTAAGTAATGTTACTGTTAATTTAGTTACATTAAAACAGAAAAACTTATAAAATTATGGCTGCTATGTATGAAATCTGTGTTTGTGTTATGAGTGGTTCCCTCCGTGTGTGCAGGTTGTAAGATACTAACACGTCACACGATTTTGTATTAGTTTATAAATTACCTTTTCATACTTGGTGCATGCGCGTGGTTAAACATCAAGGATAATAGTCGTTATTTTTTAATGTAATTTTGTTGTTGAGATGATTCAATTTGCTTATGGGTGAATGTTGTTGGTAGCTCTTGTGTGTTTCTTAACGGTCACTGCAACATGAAAATGATTTAACGATCTTTTGTTGACTTTATGCCTATTATGGTATGTATAAACTGTCTACTGCTTGATTTAGAAACTTTGTTGCCTTTTGTTATAGATTGTTCCAGCGTCTCAAATTCCTGATGGATGGATGGGTTTAGATATTGGACCAGACAGTATTAAATCATTCGGTGAAGCTTTGGACTCCACCAAGACCATCATCTGGAATGGTCCTATGGGAGTGTTTGAATTCGACAAGTTTGCAGCAGGAACAGAGGTACCTCTAGATAATTCCTCAAATGTAACCTAGAGCAAATCATGCCTAATTTTATTTTTTGTTATTATTATTTTTTTCTTTCCATTTTCAGGCCATTGCCAAAAAATTGGCTGAACTCAGTGGGAAAGAAGTGACCACGATCATAGGAGGAGGTGATTCTGTTGCTGCAGTTGAAAAAGTTGGTCTGGCGGATAAAATGAGCCACATCTCAACTGGAGGTGGTGCCAGCCTGGAACTTCTTGAAGGAAAGCCACTACCTGGAGTTCTAGCCCTTGATGATGCTTGAGGTGGACACTTGTTTTCTTGCTATTTCCGTTTTTGCTGCAATTCCATTTGTTTTGTGGTGTTTGCAGGCCTAATAAGAATGATTGTGACCTCTACTTTTTATTAGATTTTACCGAGTGATGTGTTTTTAGTGATTTTGGGTGGAATTTCCCCTTTTTTCGTGGGTTACTTTGGATGATGGGCTGTATTGCAGTCTGGCAGAGCAATAAATTTTGGTTCAACGGATACATATTTTATAGATGAACGTAATTCTCTCTGTAGTTGTTATGTTGCTGCTTTTAACTTTTGTAGACACATGACAATTAGGGAGCTTGCAGGGTAGTTACTGGTTTGCGATCGAACCAATGTATGTTCAGACGACTCGGGAGTCTGGACTATGCTTTAGCATTGGCCAGTTTTGATTTAGAAACTGGCTGCACTTCATGATTTTTCAAAAATCAGTGTCTAACCAAAACAGCATAGCAGTTAGTTTCGATTACCTATCAGTAGGCTATTCCTACATAAACTGTTCCATATATCAGGGTTTGCTTGCATATGTTGTAAAATGGGTAAATTTACAACTCGGCTAGAGTTCAGTGTTTTTGTAGAAGATTAGTGAAAAGTTTCATACTTTTCACTAGGCCATTCCTACATAAACTATTTTCATACTTTTGCTTTGTGATACTATGGATGGATTACGTCGTGAAAAGTTTCAATGTGCCAAACGTAAGACTTGTTGATACCTCTGTTTTAAAAATCGACCAAGCGTCCGCCTAGGTGGCGGTTAAGCGCTATGCGGCACTCTGACAATTAGACAACATTTAAGCGGGCTAGGCGGTTGCAAAATTACTCACAACTAGCTGGCTATGCAGCCTAGGCTCCCGCATAGATGGTCTTGGAGGTGATTGAGCAAAATTACTCACAACTAGCTGGCTATGCAGCCTAGGCACCTGCATAGATGGCCTTGGAGGTGATTGAGCGCCCATATTTTTTTTAAAATTTATTTAAAAAATTAAAATAATCTTCCTCCGCTTGACAGTGGTATATGTTGTATATAGAAATTCTAGATGTGAAAATAGGCATTTAAAAAATAAAAATAATCTTCCTGACCATAATTTTTTTGACGTTTATCCATTTTTTTTTAAATGGTAAAAAACCTCCCTTTGTTCTTTCTGGTAGTAAAAATGAATTTTAACAAATTTCAAAAATTGATTCTTTCGTTTCTTGTTAACATTTATGTATGAAATTTATATTAGTTGTATAATAAGAAAATATTAATAATTATAATAAAACTAGTACGATAATTATGAATGCATTACATTTTTGCATAAAATTTTTATTTGATCATAGTAATTCATATATTTTATATGATATATATATCTTATAAATTATGCATAATAATAAATATAAATAAATTTATTAATATTTTCACGACTTCGTTTAGTTGACTTAGGCGTTAGACTTTAACCTACTGTCTAGCGAACGCTTAACGACTTTTAGAATATTTGTTGATACAGTGATAACAATTAAAAGTGCATTAATGTCAAAAACATATATTAGCACTTTATATTTTCTAATTTTAACAAATAATGTCGAATTGCATGCTTCATGTTCGTTGTATGTAGGTCATCCTAGTTGGCGAAGCAGATGTCCTCTCCTGAAAAAACAATCTAGCCACCTGTACGCAGGCAGTATTACCGGTCGGACCGGTAATACAATGGTATTATTGGACTAGCAAGTATAATGATATATATATATAAATATACATAAAAATATATAATACTAAATACAAAAAAGTAAAAAAAAAAATAAATGACCATAATCACTAATTTCAACTTCTCAATGAGATAAATAAAACATTTTAACTACCAATTTAAATTTTATATTTTTAAAATTAAAAAATTTTATTTTTTTTATTGGCCGGTATTTTGGACCGGTTTTTACGGTATGATCCCAGTACACACCGTTATAACCGTAAATCCAGTATTTTGTATATAATTGTACCGTACCAATGGACGGTATCTGGTATTACCGGCCGTATGGTATTTAATCACTGGGATAAAGTAAATTTTTTTTGTTTAGTGACCTACAAATGGTAGCTTACTAGCTCTTTTTTCTTTTCTTTTCTTTTTATGGTAGCTACTAGCTTTTGGTACAACTTTCTCATTTTGTCTCAAACGATAGGTAATCTCATTATTTCAACATAAACATTACATAATGTCTTAATAAGGAATACAGAAACCGTACAAAGACTCAACAAGCCGACATTGGGAGAACCACTGAGAAGTGGCCTAGAGACTAAATGACCTTCAGAAAAGAAAATACAGGGAAAAGGCAGTTATTGATCCACTGAAGACCTTGCCCCTGTCATACTAGGTGCTAAAAAACATACAGGATGTAAAAGTTTCAGCCTTCTAGTATCACGTCATCATTTTGTTTAATCATTATATGGTAACTTTTTGTACTATTTCATCAGTTTTCGTTTCTCCATCGGACTACTTTTAAAAATATTGTCAGGCTAGTTCTAGTTTGGAGAGGATGGTATTAAAATCATTCCCGATTGGACCGAGTTTACTAACTTGCATTTCTACACTGCTACAAAATTGAAGCCTATTTTTCTTTTATAATTGCTGAATACTTAGGATTAATGTTGTCTAACCTACAAGAAATCCAGGAGAGACTTTTAAATTCACGAGTTCGACCAGAAATATAGTTAGTATAGTACATGTACTATAGTGTTGATAAGTTTATAAGGGAGTTCTTTTTCAAATGCCTTATTTTACACTAGTAAGATAATTTTGTTGTCCCTATAACTTTTCTTTTTCAAATGCCTGAAATCTTTCAAAACACCAACTACTGCTATAAGGGACACAGATGGAGCGACAATTAATTCTTTATATTAACTCGTTTTACTTCTCATTATCAAATTTCCCATTACATATTTTAGGTCTATGTAAAATCACTAACTGATTATTAAATTATTTTTCAATGTTTTTTTTCCATAAATAAACCTAAAATTGAGAAGTAACCACAGGTAAATCTGCATTTGTTGCCCACTCAGTCCACGACCCGTCAAAAACCGGAACATCAGTCTTCCCCACTCGATGAAGGCCCTGAAAAAAAATTAAAAATAAAAAATAAAAAATTGAGCATGTTCCATAATACAAAAGGCCAGTATTCACCAGGAGGTTAATACATCGGAAAACATATGGTAAACCGTAAATATCATTAAATAAGAGGCGGGACCCACCAGTGCTAAGATACATGCTGTCACGCCAGTCCCACATGACGTCATTATGGGGCTTTCTAAAGTGATTCCTGTTAAACATAATCAGAGTGCCTAATCAAAAGAGTGCAAATATAATGAGAAGAAAGGCTCGACATTAGCTACAAAGAATGCGAGATGTATCTAATTCTAACCTTCTCGTTCGAATCTACGCTTCAGCTCAGCAGCTGGTAAAAGGCTCTGAGAACCATCCAACATCTGTAATAAACCCCACCCATAACACCATAATCGACGTTATGTGCTTATGAACTTATATTTTTGACATCAGACGAGAAGAAAGTTGAATACTGATGGAAAAAACCAATGTGAACCCAAACAGAAAGGAAAAAAGAGCAAAAAAAGGGTAAGGACTGGAACTCAAAGGAGATGTTCCTGAATATGAACTTGAAATAAAAAATCGGCAGTCAAAATTTGTTAGTTATCTAGCCTTCAGATATTAGTGTTATAAAAGAAAAGCCCTGAAATGAAAGTTCACGAGGCTAGGAAGGGAAATGGAATCATCACATCCACCTAATTTGTTTACCTTTTTTTTTTCATTTTATTATTATTATTTTATTTTTTGTTTTTGGCATTTTTCCTNAATGAGATATACAGAAGTGCATAGATATGCATCAAAACTCCAGAAAGGCAAAACCCGGTAAATCATTAGATTTTCTGTACCTCGGGAAAGGGAAGACATTTGCTCCCTGGAATATGGCCACTTTTTATTCCCTTCCACGGCTCAGGTGCAACCCCATCAAATCTGTGAGAAAAGCAAATGGCAGATTTTAAGCCTTTAAGGTATGAAATTTTGAAAAACTTCAAAAACAAGCTTTTTGTATAGAGAGGATTGCATTTTTTTATAAATATCAACTTTTTTCTTTGATAGACTAATTATGTGCTATTAATTAGACATAAATTACTTTACAATCAAATTATCAATTAACCATTAACAATATATTTATTTACTACAAAATAGTTTTCATATGTATATCTAGATGTTAGTAACTCAAAAAATGTACATCTACTAATTTCTAATTAATCACTATTGCTAAATTATAGTTTTATTTAATCGTTCATTAAGTCTATATACAGACCGACATTATAAACAAAATATACCTAAAAACAAATCATTATTGTCCTTATTGTCATGTTAAATTATTAGTTTGCTATCACCTAATAATTATTTACCAAATACTTTTTATACAATCAATTACTAGAAGTCATTGTTGACAATTCTCCTGGCATAGTGCTAATAATGGACTACATCAAAATGGTTCAATTAAATTCTAGTGCTTCTTCTATTAGTGAAGTTTCTAGAAAAAAAAAAATAAACAGCCTCCTTGTATAATTACAAGGGTAAGGTCTACGTACAACTGACCCCCCAGACCCCAACCTGTTGGGAATATACTGGGTACGTTGTTGTTGTTGTTGAATTACTAGAAGTCAAACTAGTTAAAAGAATCACCCATCAATTATCAAGTATCAACTAATACAATAAACTATCCATTACAAACAACAACATCATGTTAAAAGTTTTTGATTCATTAGCACAAAGAAACAAACAATATGGAAGGAGGTAAAATATAGACTATTAAGAAAAGTAGAATTTCCCATATTGTTGAACTGTAAGGTGGTAATTGAGTATAGAAATTTCCGTATGTGTTTTGTCAAACAAACTTATTTCATCGAGAGTTGTTATTGGATACAACTTCGCAAAATATGCTACACATTTCATCTCGTTTTTTTCTCTCCAATCCTATCATCATAAAATATAAATGACAACCAATCACTAATGCACATTTATAACCACCACCATTAATGTCTTTGTTTCTCAAGGAAAACTCACCTAGCTTTTGCACGAGCATCTAGATGCTGATGTCTTTGTTCTTCAATATTTTTCAGGACCTGAATAACACGTAAAATTGCATAATTCTTTATCAATTAAATGTTGATACAAAAAAAAATTGTATCAAGATACTTCGAACATATCACATTTATCCAGAGTGACAAAAACCCGTCCCCATAATGGTCATATTCCGAAAAATCCATTTCAATCTTACAAAACATTCTACCGGAAAAGGTTAAAATCAACCATCTGGGTTTGTGATGATTCAAATTATCGTGATGGCCCCAAAAAACGGAACCTGAACTGGTTAGACTGTATCATTAACTTGTCTGTTTAGGACAATGCCTTTATTTTCCATTAGTTCTAATCAGCTAGGGGCATCAGGTGAATACTTACTCTACATCTATTTATTAGAGAAACAGAAAAAGAAATGCAACAAAATACCTGCTCAAGTGTCCAAACAAGATGCGGCTGAAAATTGGTCTGGAACGTAACTGGTCCAACCTGCAGATAATTAAATACCTATAATTATTTTAAATAGAAGAAAGCACGAAACAGGAAAAAACATATCAACATATAAAAGATTAACTTGTAGTAAGTTGAATTCATCTCAAACTACACATGAACTCACACAGAGCTAGCTGAAACTAAGACATACATAATAAGGGAAGTAAGCATAATGAGATAAGGCGCAAAATACCCGTTCCCCTTGGCAAACTCTCTGTACTGCACCACTAGCAGCAATAGCTTTCAAGATATTATCACTTGAAGTAGATAATTCAGCATCATAGCCCGAAGCCTGCCATTTCGGAAGACCACCATCCAAAACCCAAATCCTATCATGCCCGAATACTCGAAACATCCTGTTTTTGAAAAATACACGGAGAAGTTCATTCTACGTGTGATAATAATCAGTAAAGGTACATGCAGTTAAATAGCTTGTTCTTGTTGAAATTTGTTTATTATACCACCAAACACGAGGTGCACTGAAAATCCCCTTCCCATCATAGACTATGATGGCATCTTTATTCTCAATGCCGAGGGCAGATACAGCAGCAGCAAATGCTTCTTCTGGTGGCAGCATATGTGGCAACTATAAAAATGAGCCATTAAGAATGAAAAGTTAGATAATTCATTTCAGTAAGGCAGATCACTAGCACACTTTATGGCAGAATAAAATATTAGGGCAATCCATGTCTTGAACATTGGTAGGCAATACTACCTTAGTTAAGAAACATAAGAAAGTTATTTCTCCAAATGAAAATACAGAAGAAACTCTTCATGCTGTGGTAGCTTTACATACAGAAGAAACTCTTCATGCTATACAAGAAGAGAAAAATGTATTACTATGAGCATAACATTCTCAAGGATAGCTTCTTACTTCACTAGCTCGATCCGATATGCCATCAAGATCAAAGAAAAGTGCACCAGGAACATGCGCAGCCTAATTGGGATTAAAAAAAAAACAAAAGCTTCCAGGGTAAATTTATGGTAGGAAATCAACACGAAGAATACAACAAATAAAAAATATTCGAATTTGAAAAAAGACTATAAATACCATAAAGTAGGGCAATTAGCAGTGAATTTTTCATAATAAAACCTGTGATGTTAGGAAGAAAGATATCCTTTTGTACCTTATACTCTTCAAATGGATTCCTATGTTCGTGTGGCATGTACCAAGATGCATCCAATACCTTAAAACAACAGAACGAATAGCAACCAATAATTAAATCAGCAAAAATCATGGATTTAGATCACTAATAAGAGCACAGAACAAGTTGCTACCTTCAAATCGGGTTCTTGGAGGTTGGCATGGAGCCAGTCAATTGAAACAACGGGTTCATTAGTCGACAAGGATTGCATTAGAGAATGAAGCTAGTGATACAACTGCCAAATACAAGGATAAAATGAAGGTTGTTGAATAATTAAATTCATTACAAATGATATGAACAACTAAAAAATGGGCCCAACTTTTACGAACCGACGAGCTTTTAGCTGAAATTTCGAAAGTAAAATCAAAACTACAGAAATTGCTATCATTTGGAGCGAGTTAAGAGGATCAAACTGCATAAACAATGCAAACTATTTTCAACCTCAATGAGCAGGATTAACAAAGGGAGATATTTGCATAAATTACTACCAAAAGCATCAACCTCCAGCTAAAGGATGGAAAAACTGTGGCTTCATTGAATAATAGAATAACTCTGTCTTTATAAGTGTAAAAAATAACTTAATTAAACGATCGGAAGGAAATAAAGTAGAGACAAGACAGACTTACAGTGAAGTAGATCTTGGGAATTTCTTAAAGATTGAGAGACAAAGAGAAAATAAAGAAAGAAGGGCGCGACAAGCAGATGGACAACAGTGAAGGGAAGTGACAAAATCAGAGGCCAGAATTTACTCTACGAAATACGAATTGACCACCATTGTAACTTGTAGTTGTATGATTCATTGTGGAAGTCAAACTATATTATTTATTTCAGAAGAAAATTGGATTACTTTCTAATTCGTGATAATGTACAGTTTTTATGTACAGTAATAAAATACCTAGAAAAACGCAAGCTCTTGTAGCTCAGTTGGTTAGAGCACCCGTTTAGTAAGCGGGAGGTCTTGAGTTCGACTCTCAACAAGAGCATCTTTGTTTTTATTTTATTTTATCATGTCTTTCTTATATACGATCTTCCTTTCGAGGCTTCGAGCCCCAAGAAAAAGACATTTTTTTATTTTATTTTATCATGTCTTTCTTATATACGATCTTCCTTTCGAGGCTTCGAGCCCCAAGAAAAAGACATTTTCTTTTTTAATAACATGTATTACAATTTTCCTTTCGAGCCAAAAAAAAAATAAAATAAATAAATAAATAAAATAAAATACAAGTAGAAACTCATCGGCCTTTCATCTGAACAAAAAACAAGATCCACATTCTTTTTCCTTGGAATACTATACTTCGATTCATCGACAATATAAAATTTTCTTTTTACTAGGAATATCACTAGATTCACTACACTACCAATAGTCATTGCACGAACACTCACCACCCCTAAACCGATGAAACCGATACGGGTCCCTCAGCACAATCTCCCTCCCTACCACACCGCTCACAAACTTATACACACTGTGACAATCCCCACAAACCCGAAGGTTCTTGAAAATCCTGAGCGTCGACCCCTCTTTCGTACTAATCAGCCCGTACGCTAGCGCCAGCCTCTCACTATGGGCCCACAAGCTATCCTCCTTCTGCTCCTCATCCGTATCGTGCAGTGCAGAGCTCGTATTCGCAACATAACCCGCCTCCTTAATCTCTCTCCTCAGCTCCCTCAATTTCCCGTATATTCTCTCACACTCCGCATGCGACTTGTCCCCTGCCCCAAACGTGCTCACTCGATCCTGCACGTTTAGCCAGCTATACGCAGGCTTCTTCCTCACATTCACACTTTCCATTTTTACCCTCACACCCAGCACGTCCTGCCACCTCCCGGAACCCGCACACACGTTTGAGTACAGCACGTACGCCGAGTCATCCGCTGGGTTTGCTTCCAGAAGCTTCCGTGCAGCCTTTTTCCCGAGCTCCAAATTCCCGTGTGTCTTACACGAGGATAACAAAGTACGCCAGATGAAGTCGTTTGGCGGGACCGGCATTTCCTCTATAAAAACCTCGGCCTCCGAGAACCTTCCCGAGCGGCTGAGCAAATCGACTATGCACACACAGTGCTCGATAGCTGGCGGGACTCCAAACTCGGTTTTCATCGAGCGGAAATACTCGAGACCTTCGTCCACGAGCCCTCCGTGGCTGCACGCTGACAGGAGTGAGACAAAAGTGACGTGGTCGGGCTTCGGCCCGCAATCCGCCATCTCGCGGAAGGTTTCCCGGGCCTTCCGAAAGTTTCCGTGCCTCGCCAGCGCGGATATCAGTATATTCCAGGAAAGTCGAGAGCGCGTTTTCGGCTCGGGAAGCAGCCTCAGGAGATCGTCGAGCTCGCCGCATTTTCCGTACATGTCCATGGCGGCGCTCGAGACGAAATGATAATCGTGAAAACCGAGCTTGATTGAGGCGCAGTGAAGATGCTGCCCGTCTTCTAAAATGGCTAGGTTTGCAGAGGCCGAAAGTGCTGCCGAGAGGCTGAACTGGTCGAAACCGACCTCGGCTCGTTGCATCTCGACCATGAGAGATAAAGATTCTTCCCAATTGCCGTTGTGAGTGTTGGCTGCCACCATGGCGCTCCAGCTGGCGGACGTTCGGTCGACTAATGAGCGGAATAGATAGTTACTAGAGCTGAGGTCACCACAATTGGCGTACATTGAGATGAGCGAGTTTTTGACATACTCGTCCGGTTCGAATCCGGAAAGCAATGCGTGTGCGTGTAATGGAGTTCCGAAAGTTCGGAGGTTGCGCGTGTCGCAACAAGATCCGAGCAAGTTTATTATCGTTATGTAGTTTGATGATACGCCACTTTCTCTCATTGAAACGAAAATTTTAACTGCCTCGTCAGCTTCTTTGTTTTCGGCATAACCGCCGATCAGGGCATTCCATGTAACTAACTCCTTTTCGTGCATACGTAAGAAAAATTTCTTAGCTTCGCACGTGGCCCCGCATTTTCCATACATAGTGACCAATGCATTCCCGACTGTTGTGTTTTGGTGGAGTCCGGACGTGACTGCGAGTGAGTGGACGATTTTGCCCTCGGACAGAAATTTGGCATTAGCACAGGCAGACAGTGCGCTTGCGAAAGTAACGAAATTCGTGAAGTTTCCCATCGTGATTAATTCCCTGAACACGCGCAAGGCGTCTAAGAACATGCCTTCCGAGACATAACCTGCCATCATGGAGTTCCAAGAGATCAAATCTTTATGTGGTAAGCCGTGAAACAATTTTTCCGAATCTTTATATCTGCCCGTCTCGAAATACATAGTTAGAAGGGTGTTTGAAAGGCAGATGTATAAATCCAATCCCGTCTTGACTAGCAAGCCGTGAATTCCTCTGCCCCAACTCAAATTATCAACAGCACCACTTGCAGACAGCAAAGTGGACAGCGTACTTTCATCGATTTTCCCATGATTGAGCCGCATTAACTGAAAATATCTGAGCATCTCTAGCGAGAGGCAATTACGAGCGAGAGCTGCAAGAATTGAGTTCCAAGATATAGTATCACGTTCGTTCATGCTATTAAATACATAGCTGGCCACTTCTATTCTACCGAAATCACCAAAAACAGATATGAGAGAATTCGCAACCGATACATCTGTCACGAGCCCCGTCATAGTAACTTGACCAAGCACTTGAAGGACCAAACACTCGTCATCAAGAGCCCCACAAGAGCTAATAACCGTAGTGAAGGTGTTCTGATTACAACTCACCCCTTCACGCCTCAATCTCAGGTACAAGTCAACAACCTCATGGTACAACCCACGGTTTGCATAGTTAACCATCAAGGAGGTCCAAGAAACAACATTTTTTTCGGGCATATCCTCAAAGAGCACACGGGCATCGTGAATAAGCCCGTAACCCCCATAAAAGTGCAAAAGTGAGGTCCCCACGTAAACATCATCCTGAATTAAACCACTCTTCAAAAGTAGACTATGAATCTGAAGCCCTTCTAGGAGCATGCTCCCTGACTTGCTGAGTGCGGTCAGCAAGCTTGCAATATTATAACCGTTCAGTTCAAACCCTCGGGCCCACATCTCGAGAAAAATCTCGCAAGCATCAATATGCATTCCAGTCTTCACGTATCCAGAAATCATGTTGTTCCAAGAAGCCGCGTTTCTGTTGGGCATTCTATCAAACACCTTTTGGGCGTAGTCTATTTTACCGAATCTTGAGTACATATTTATCAACGTGTTTGTGTGAAAAATGCTCAAGGGATTTGAACACTTTGTGCACAGAGCGTGCAGTGATTTTCCCATGGATTGTTTGGTGATCAGCGAAAATCCTTTCTGGAAAAAACCAGAAATTTCTGGGTAATGACTGTTCGAGATGCATTGCTGAATGTGGTCCTGTGGATCTTGTCTGCATTGGGAGAAGGGTAAATTTGATGGAGCAGAGGTTGCGAATTTGAAGGAGGACTCGAGCGTGATAGCGGGGAGCTTGTCCTTGCTGTGCTTAGCTAGCATAAATTTGTTTTCACGGAGCTTGGTCTTGCTGTGCTTAGCTAGCATAAATTTGTATTTGCAAAAATGGAGGGAGAAAAATGGTGGTTTGTGGATGCAAGAATGAACTAGTAAGTAGTGACTCACAAATAGAATAAAAGTTGTGTTTATATACAAAAAAAAATATGTTCAAATGAGTTTTCTTTTTAATTATTAACCAGAGTTAATTTTTGAAAAAATATGGTATGGTTAATTGTTAGTTAAAATTAATTTTTATATTAAAATAATATTTAAAATAAAATAATTAAAGTTGATTTGATATAAAAATAAGAGAAATAGTGTGAAGCAATCGTTAGTTAAATTTAAGTGAGAGGATGAATAGTAAATTAAAGTTGATGTGATGTGTAAAAATGAGTGGCTGATATTATTTAATTATATTGATAATATTAAGTATAGTAGAGTTAGATTTTGACTATAAATTAAATATGAATTGGATTTTTTTCATATACAAACACATGTAAGGATAATTGAGCATGAGAGAGAAGTGCTCTAGCTACTTTTGTAAAATGTGGTGCTTTTTTTCTACCCTACCATGCATTTTGTTGGGTGTCTCAAGAAAATTGGTGTAGAATACCAAATTGAGCATAAGAGTGTACATTATGGTATATATAGTACATGATATAACTAAAATTGTTAAAAGAAAAATAATACTAAAAGTGCTAATGTGTCTAACAACTTTTCCTATTGCAACGACGACTTATATATGTTAAGACAAAAATTTTATGGAGTCATCCACCACTTAATGTATTGATACGTGTGCAAAATGTATTTATTGCAGTACACGTGTCAATACACTATTAATGAATAAGTGTGGATGACTCCATAGCAAAAATGTATATGTTGATACCAATTCACATAATGTTAACTATCAATCACCTCCAATCAATTATTTCATATTTTTACACCAAATAAAAAATATTTATTTTTATTTTAAATATTATTTTAATACAAACCAGAAATTTCACTAAAAGCTAACCAAATCAATTTTTTTTTTTAAAAAAAAAATCATCATAATAAAAAAAAAACAATCAAAATTAGATATACGGCCTAGGTATATAATACACTCACGCCCCACACGTGCCACATTACAAAATGGGCACAACATTCAGGCTTTTGTTACGAGTTGAGGACATGGGCCGAATAGCAAAGTCATCACAGTACTAGACAGATTTGGATTCCATTTTAGACATAAAACATTACACATAAACCAAACAAACCCGTACCGTAGTTCCGACATTATTTTTCGTATTAGGGTTTATGATTTAGGGATTTTCACTCCCTCCCTGCATTTTTCAATTTCTTAGTAGGGCTGTTTCCAGAGGCATTCTTTAAAGCATCAAAACTACGTGTATCACTGGCGGCCCGAAATTTCGCCTTCCCCCATTCCCGGCTGTAGCACGGGCAAATCTATCTTCCTTATTTATTTTTCCCGATTATCTTCCATTCTATCCTGAGATACTACTATCAGGCCACGAATGGGGAAGAAAAAGCAGAAACTGATACTGCCGCCGGAGCTTCCTCCGGAGATTCCCGATGAAGAAATCGAAGTTTCCGATGAGGACTTGAATTTCGTTAAGGAGAACGTAGACTACGTTGGTTTTGTTTCCAATTTGGACACTCAGTCAATCACCAAGTACGCAATTTTTTTTTTTCGTAATTTATGAGTTGTATTTCCACGTTCACATAATTTTGAAGCAATTATTTGCTCAAACTCAATGCTTATATTAAAAAAAAAATGGAAAAAATAGGCATGTTACACGGGTGGCGGATGCGAAAGAGGGGGCTTTGGAAGCTCTGTACGAGAGAAAGAGAAAGAAGTTGGAAAATAAAGAGAAAGAGTCGACTGCACTGGAAGTTGATCCCGTTGATGCACTTCCTGTGAAGACTTTGGATGGAAAACTTTACTATAGAAAAGGTATTTTTTCTTAATCTCTGGGTTTAGGCCTGTTTAGATTGCCATATGAAAGCTGACTTTCTGACAGTGGCAAAGGAGCCCAAGGAGAATGAAGAGGAAGCAAAAGAAGGTGAATCTATTACTAAAGATCCTTCTGTCGTGAAGTTAACAAAAGCAGAAAAACGTGCGAAGCAAAAGAAGCTGAGAAAAGAGGCAAAGAAACAAGCAAAGGAGGAAGTGCAGCAAACTCCTCAGGCTGAAGTGCTGGTGTGTGTTTCTTCTGCTCAGCCTTTCGACTTTGATGTCATGCGGTGATTCAGTTGTTTTTATGTAATGGTGCACCATCCAAATACGCAACGCACAAAACAAAATGTTTTTTTTTCCCTAAATGGAAAAGCAAGACATTGTTGAGACACTGAAATCTAAGAAAAAATGCGGTGATTCAGTTTTTTAGGATGTTTGACAGGCATTTTCATTTTATTTGAACTAAAATCTAAGAAAAACACCATATTTAGCTTCTTATCTTCATCTAAGTCGAAGGCGTAGAATATTTTGGCATAACTCTGTAATTATTCTCTTTAGTCATTACATTTTACTGGTGGTGACATGTGTTCATCTTATCTTGGTATTACATCTCTTTTACGTCGTCTCTTAAGTTCAGTTGATGAAAGATAATTTTGAGATATCCGATCTTGTTTTGTTAAGATTTTAATGGATTTGACCATCAAGTTTGTTATTACTTCATATAAACGGGTGTTCTGGTTATTTTAAAAGGTATTTGCATTGTAAAACTAAGAGTATTTACCAATTTAAATGGCCAATAATACTCGTAGAGTAACCGTAACAGATCTGGCAAGTTCTATATGAAATCCTTGTACAATTTATGATCTCATTACTCTGTCCACTTGTTTAGGATGAAGTGAAAAAAGACCTGACAGAAGAAGAAACCAAGGAGAAGAAGAAGTATAAACTTGCTGAGTTGGGAACTTCACTACTTGCTGATCCTGAATCCAATATCAAGAATATAAAGGAGATGCTGGAGATTTCAAAAGATGGAGATAGTTCCATCGTCATACTGGGCCTCAAATCCTTATTGGCTGTTTTTAAAGACATCATTCCTGGGTAAGGATGTCGGTTACTTGAGAATCTGGAAGGAATTTGGATTTTATTTGTTTACTGTACGGCATATGTTTTATTAATATTTTATGTTATTATTATTATTATTATTATTTTCATTTGTCGCTGCAGCTTCCGCATCAGACTGCCCACTGAAAAGGAACTAGAGATGAAGGTCTCAAAGGCTGTTAAAAAAACGAGATTTTATGAGTCCACTTTACTGTCTGCATACAAGGTTTGAAACTAACACTTCTATTGTTCTCTTTCTGGCCAACCATTGCACATTCATAATTCATAATGTGTGTATTATGAATATGCGTGAAGCTCAATTCCTCCCATGTGTGGATAAAGAAAAAACGATAATGATGCTGGTAGTATGTGTTGATTTCCACTGCAGGCATATGTGCAAAAGTTGGTGTCACTGCAAAATCAGTCTGTCTATAAGCGGGTCGCAATCCGTTGCTTATGTACTTTGCTAGCAGCCGTACCACACTTTAACTTCAGGGACAGCTTGTTGGCAGCAGTTGTGAAAAACATTAGTTCCCAAGATGATGTCGTGAGGTAATTGGAATAATTTCTTGTTATACTGTATTTTTTAGTTTTATTGAGCTTATTGGAGTACACTCATTAATCCAGTGTTTGGGAAACAATTTAAATTTAAGCTAGATGAAAGAGTGTTTTTTTTAAACATTGCGGTCTTTGCCTTTTTTTTATTTAAGCTGAAATGTGGCGGAGTCTTAGGCTATGTTTGGTAAAACTAGCTGATAGCTGATAAGCTAGCTTATAGCTTATCAATAATTTTTGAGCTTATAGTTTATGACTTATAGCTGAAAAGCTAGCTTATATGATAAAAGTGTTTGGTAAAATTAGCTGATAAGCTAGCTCAAATAAAAATTTCAACTAGCTTATTTGAAAAGCTACTCAAACAAGCTTATGAGATAAGCTCGAGCTTTTTAAATAAGCTTGTCCTACCAAACGAAGCTTATTTAAATACAAGAAGCTTATAAGCTAATCAAATAAGCTACAAGCTAGCTTATTTGTCTACCAAACATAGCCTTAATGTTTTACTAGCGATTGACGGTGGTTCCTAAATAATATCATGGTGGGTCTCCTAATAGTACATTATTATCTACTATATGATGGATTGTTTTCCTCCCTAGTTTAACGTTTATTTTTTATGATCACATTCTTGGTCCTGGATTTTTCAGAAAACTTTGCTGCACAGCAGTTAAGTCACTTTTTGCTGATGAAGGGAAACATGGCGGTGAAGCTACTGTGGAGGCTGTTAAATTGATTGCCGACCTTGTAAAAGCTCACAACTGCCAACTGCATCCTGATTCTGTTGAAGTAAAAATCTTCTTGTCTTTTTGTATTTTTTGTTTTTTATGCTCTCAGATATTTTTTGTCTACAATATTTCAAGTCATATCTATGTAGTTTTATCCTGATTCTCATTTTGAAATGGTTTACGTTAACAAAACGATGGACTTCACGACTAGTAAATTATCCTAATGTGATGTTTAAAAACTCTCTCTATAAAATGTTCGTGGCTCTTGCAATATTGTCACTAATAATAGTTGTGCATACCAATGCACTTGAGTGCGACCATCACCTTAAGGATTTCCTGTCCTATTGAGATTTTTTAAGTAACACTGAGTGACAGAAATTAACAATGTGTAAGAATGGACTACTCAGTAAGGAAATCCCGTGGTACAAAATTCAGGCATGTGAGTTTCAGGGTAAACATGTTGTCTTACATGTATTTGTGTCAAACAATTTTTGCACACAATTCACATGTATCTGTTTGTCTAAACAATCATTGTCTAAATGATGAAGTTGTACCTATGTTGTCTGAATTATAGATTCTTCTTTTCAATTGTTATAATCTTAACATCTCTTTCTAGGAGTTTTTGTCATCTTAGTCATGTGATGATCTTGGAAAACATAGAAAGATATAGATGTGTTAATACAGAGAAAAAAAGTATAAAAAATAAAGAAAAATCATAGAATTGGAAGACCTCGAATGAGTCAAAATGCTGTGATTCTTCTATTAAATGAATGATTGGAATCAAATATTATGCTTTTGTTGCATCCTCTTATCAGTAAATTATTGCTCTGCCTGTTAGGTGTTTTTGTCCCTGTCCTTTGATGAAAATCTTGGAAAATCAGAAAGACCAGAAATGGACAAAAAAACTAACAACAAAAAGTCCAAGAAGAGGAAGGGTATGGATGAACCAAACCAAGTGCTTGAGAATGATAGGAAAAAAGTTAGGAAAGAGATGTTGTCGAAGACAAGGGAGGAGGTATATATCACTTTAATTACTCAAACTTTGTTTGGTTTGTTATCATTACTTAATGATATTGGTATCCTTGCAGGTAAGTGCAGAGTTAAAAGCTGCTTCATATGCTCAAGATCCTCAAGAGAGAAGAAGGATGCAGTCACAGACACTTTCATCTGTGTTCCAGACATTCTTCCGCATCTTAAAGCATGCTTTGCAACCAGTGTAAGTGCCTTCACAGCAACTAAGTGGAAAAGTTAGCATTGAAATGTTCCTTAGTTATCTCATTTAATTTGAGCCTGAAAGACAGCAAATTGAATTTGTTGATGGGCTCCACATTTAATCGGAAAAGTATCACTTGAAGCTGAAAAACTCGCTTCTAGGTTAAAGCTGGAAGCTGAAAGTGGTTGTTGTGGCTTTATGAAATTATTTAGACGGTGTTTTTGAAATAGAATGTAGTTTCTTGAGGCCAAAAGATTCTCATGCTATAAAAGTTTGGGAAAAAAATTTCTGTTAAAAGACATGCACATGGGTCAGATACACTAGACTGACATGCCATGATAAATTTCCAGTATCATATTGTGGAGAATCAGACCAAAAGGGAAAGCATCAATAACATCCAGAATTGCTTGCCTTTAATAAACTCCAGTTTTTTCTCTCATTTTTCCTTCTGGCACTATACATTTTTAAGTGATTTACCATTCCATAATCTAAAAGGAAGTCCTGTTTCTCTTATGTCCGTTCCAACTTTTGATCCTCAGGTCAGAAGCCAGTTCTGTCCCTGGTGCATCAGGAAGCGTTCCCTTGCTTGCCCCTTGTCTGGATGGAATCGGAAAATTTTCTCATCTTATTGACTTGGATTTTATGGCTGATCTCATGCACTGTCTGCGAAAACTTGCTGGCGGTGGCCGTAAATCAGCAAATTCATCTGAAGAATCTTGTCATCTAACGGTGACTGAACGCTTGAGATGCTGCATTGTTGCGTTTAAAGTGATGAGGAACAATCTTGACGCTCTCAATGTTGATCTACAGGAGTTCTTTGTCCAATTTTACAATCTGATACTTGAGTATCGACCAGGGAGGTAGGCTGCAATGGTGTGTGAGTTTTTATATAAAATGTGAAAATTTTAGGCTAATTGTTACAAGTATTTTTAGATACAAGTTGTGTCTGATTGCTTTATTTGACTAGCACTTGGTTTCTATTACCATGTCAGTTATCATATATTGCTCAGCTAACCACACCCGAAAAGTATCATTAAATAGAGAATATATATTATTGTTCTTTTGTATGTAACTTAATTTGCAGTGTTTTCTTAATTTTTTATGTAGGGATCAGGGAGAAGTATTAGCTGAAGCTTTGAAGATAATGTTGTGTGATGACAGACAACATGATATGCAAAGGGCTGCAGCCTTTATAAAGCGATTGGCCTCGTTTTCGCTATGTTTTGGGTCTGCTGAGTCCATGGCTGGTGAGAATCTGAAATCTGAATGTTGTATATGTAAATTGGTTGCTTTTTGAGTATTATTGTTCGGTTCTCATGATTATATTTTCGTCTGGAAAATATTTCATCAGCATTGGTCACTGTAAAGCATCTTCTGTTGAAGAATGTCAAATGCCGTAATCTGTTAGAAAATGATGCCGGAGGTGGGTCTGTTGCTGGTGCGATTGCTGTAAGTCCTTTTTTGCCCCTTCACTACTTAACGAAATGCATTAGGTTTTAGCCTTCCAGAGAATAATAATCAAAGAACTATGGTCATTGTTCGAACTTTGAACTACAAATAACCCCTTAGGCCTTTTTAATTTAAGCTGATAGGATAGGATATGGTTGGATAAGTCCTGTTATCCAACGTTTACTAATGAGATTGGATAATAAGATGATGTGTCCTGTTTTATGCACGATTGGCAGGACCCTGGTCTTGAGGGTGGGACATTTTAATCCCATCTTATAAATGACCATTTTGTCCAAAAATTGGCATGTGAAATGTCCCTTTTACGCTTTAAAAGTTCACCAAATTACAGATTTAGGCCATATAAATATATTTTGCTATCACCTCGTATTTTGCTTTTTATCTTGTCATTTTATCCAAGGTTAGTAAACGCTTGATTGTTTTTGCCTTAAAATGCATCATGTTTTGTAAACATTGGACACAAGCTGACATGTAAAGTGATGGAATTAAACTGTCCAATCCCATCATTTTAAGTAAACGAGGCCTTAATGTTACGTAACTTCCTTGAGGTTTGTAGTTACTCAAGTTTTAGACCAATAATGCAACTTTTAAAGAAAATAATTATCAAGGGATTGTAATTGTAAAAGGCAACCGTCTGTTCATATCAGTGTTTTAAATACCGTACCGGTAAGCATACCGGACGAGCCAACGGTACGCGGTTCAACCGGTATTACCGTTTATTTTACCGATTTCAGTAAATATTAAATTAATTTATTATTATAATATAAATGATGTACAAAACTAACTTTAACTAATACTAAAATTAATTAACATCTAATAACAATGTAAATATATTAAAACTATGTGTAGAACTTTCAATTTATATAAATAAATTAATAAAAAAATATTAAAAAATATTTTTTTTAAAAAAATTTGGCATAAACTGGTATTTTGACCGGTATTTTGGCTGGTATTTGTCGGTAAAACCGGTATAAGCCAATATTTTGGCTAAAAAGGTATTTAGAGTGTAACCGTACCGGTTGGACCACCTGTATCCGGTATTACCGATAATACCGGCCGGTACGATACGGTATTTAAAACATTGGTCCATATCTCAGGCCATAAAGTTTTTTCAAAATTGTAGAAAATTGGGCAAAGTTTGAATCTCATCACATTTTTCTATTTCCTCGCATACATTCCTATTTGTTTCCAATATTTTTCTTATGGTTTGATCAAATCCGATTTAATTACAGAAATACCAACCTCACGCAGTGGACCCCAACCGAAGTGGTGCACTGGCTTCTGTTCTTTGGGAGCTTAACCTTTTAACAAAACATTATCATCCATCTGTCTCAACAATTGCGTCTAGCATCTCAACCATGAACACTACCAATAACCAGGTGTATCACACGCACATATCCCCACAGCAAGCCTACATGGACCTATCAAGAGAAAGCAAGTCCTTCGATCCACCTGGCGATGTGAAAAAAACGAGCGTCAAGAAAAGGAAAGGAAATAATAAAGCACTTGTTAAAGTTGGGTCGGGCCTCGATTTGACCTGCCAAATCGATGAGAATGAGGTTAGGACGAAACTTGCTGAACATTTCTGGTTGATTAGGGATATTAAGGCAAACGAGAGATTGAGGTCTGAGTTGGACCGTACTATTATGTCACTTAATCTTTACGAACAATACAAGAAGCAAAAGAAGAGGAAGACGAGAAGGTAACGGATGTGAAGGATGAGTGGCAAAAATGCTAAGTTTGTCATTTTCCTGGCCAGAGAGCTGTTTTTAAGTTTTGAGTCTATTCTTTTTGTTTATTATGTCATTAAGAAAAAGGTTTACAGCCTGCAATCAATGATTTTTGTTGGAAAATTTTGTAGAATCCTTCTATTTTGTTTGGGTCAAATGAGGTCTGATATTGTTAAGCGGAGTTAAGATTTTGTTTTGTTAGCTGAACGTCTTCCTTAGTAATAATGCGTGCCTAGTTATTTCATGTTACAGTCCCTGAATTTTTTGTTTTTGTTCTAATTCATAGGTGACAGGCAATTCAACACGATGGTTAAAATGTTATTTGAATGTTGGTATCAATATTTTTATTTTTCAACATGGACGAGATTCTGCAGTGTAGCTCGTTTCTTTGAATATTTCTAAAATGGGGGCACTTTCATTGTCAAAATCTTCTTGTGGGGGAATTTCTAATTGATCAATTAGCAACATATTCAAGCATGGGCTGAGATTACATGATGTTTGTCAAACAAGATTTGGGAAAATGATATGAGAGGGATGCTGAGCTAAAAGTGTCACATAACAGTTCATGGCAATGTTTTTTCAACCCGGACCTGTAATTTACCGAGGCTCGCATTCGGGTCATCGGGTTGATTGTTGAACCGTGTAACTAATTATAAAAAAAATAAATTTATATAATACTATTTTTATCTTATAAATAATACAAAAGAATAAAATAAATATATAATTTATGTGTAAATTTTATATATCAAAGTCTTAATAATATTGTATCACCTCATAAATATTCACCACAAAAATATATAATTTTGTTTTTAGAACAAAAATATTTTAATATAATATATATATATAGAGAGAGAGATTTGTTCCAATGAGTGACCCAATCCTAGATTTGCCTAGATAATGGAAAAGCTCGCGAAAACATTTTAAAATTATAGATTTGCCTGGAGGGAAAAGAGGTTAAGTCTACCAGGATCCCCTATTTCGAGTAGCTCAACTATAGTGGGTTGACCCGCGATAATTAGCTGCGGGGGCGACCTGAGGGGAAATGCGCGAGGTTGTGCTGGCTCGAGGGAGGTTGCTAGGTTTGTTTCGATAAAATCGGAAAGCTTGGCTAGCTGATCTCACCCTCATGTTCGTCCAGAAGCTCGAAAGAGGATTTCAACTAATGGTTCAAAAGGTAGCTCTAGAATGGCAATGGAGGAGGATGATGTGTCTGAAAGTTCATTCTGGTTTATACTACGATCGGAGTGTGAGTTATGAGACATGGCTTTTAAGGTAGAAAAGGACAAGTGGGAGGCAACGAGAATAAGGCTTGCATGGAGGTCGATGAATAACAGATTACAAAGGGAAGGGTTAGAAGAACATACCCATTCGTCGTTGAATGTCGAGCTCAAGTAGGTGCTTTGGCCGAGAATTGCTAGAGGTTTGCCGGAGACTTTTGTATAATAATGCTTGATTTCATAGAGGGTGTAGAAAAGTGACACGAAAGAATGACAAGCTCTTTTCTAGGCGACAAAATGGGTTAGGTCGGTCTAGGGGTCATAGACCGTTTGATCACCGTTTACATTTTTTTTTTAACCAACACCCCAGTAGAGTGGGGGTTAAAGCAGAACCCCCAACCTGTATATAAAATGCCCTAAATGGGCCGAAAAGTCACAAAACTACAAGTCCAATGTCTGATATACATCCAGTCAAACGAAAAACCAAATCAAAGGTAGGTTGGTTGGTCAAGCACCGTACTACCTGTGGTTTATTTTTAAAAAATAACGGTGGATGATATTTGCCTCAGAATCTGAAAGAGGGGTACTTGAAAAGTCTGGTTTTTTAAATGTCCCATTTTTGAGGCGTTTCTGGCACACATAAAATCGATTGTGAGGGCTCTCTTTCTCGACTTGTGCCCACAAGCGTCGGACAAGGTCGGGAGGAGTAATTGATATAACATAGAGAGCTCGGTCCTGAATCGGGCTCCTCCTTGCATATCTCAGTTCAAGATCGGAGCTCCCTTAGCTCGACTAAGAGAAGTTCGGTCGAGTAGCTAGGTAGGTTCTTGAGGATGGTAGGCCGATCTATCGACTTGAAACCTGGATTCTTAAGTCTACCTGGGGGAATGGTTTAGAAGTGTTAACCGTGTGATACCTTAGAGATATAGGATTATGAGATCTTGAAAATGTAGAATATATGAAGGAGATTCTCATGTATGTGTATATTTGGTTCCTTAAGAAGGTGAACTCTTGGTTCCTTAAGAAGATGGAACTCTTGGGCAACAAGGTAATGGCTCTCATATATAAGGTAGAAGTATGGTTGTTGTCACTATTACGCCTTATTCATTACTATCATACCAAAACTATACATGAGCAACTGCCTTGATCGTCGGAAACTATACATCGGAATTCTCAAGACAATTTTTTTAAGTACTTTGAACGAAAAAATTGTTATAATCGGGTATAAAAAATTACACGAGAATCCTACGAACTGATATGTAATTTTTAGTTCTTACAAATAATCTAAAAATAGAAAATTACAATAGATCTGAAAATAAATTATAACTTGGAAAAATAGAAAGATTTTAGCCGAGCCGATTAAAACTCTTTCCGCAAGAAGAATACGCCCCGTGTGGCTGCTAACGGTTCAGGCGTAACTTCCCCAAAAATACAACGGCAAACGTCTCTAAATCTGTAGCACACCAGATTTACGAGCTCCGACGAACTAGATCGAAGTTGAGAATTGAGCACTTACAAAATAGAAATAAAATTATCTATATGATAATTTTTCTATAATTTTTCTCACAATTTTTTTTTTTTTTTCTTTTTCTCTTTCCTTTTTTTCTTCTTTTCCCTTCACCTCTATTTATTTCCTTCTCGTCTTTGGTGTATTTTCTCTTCTTGGAACACACACATATATATAGCAAGATGATGCCTCAAATTTGGTGTTGGAAAGTGAGAAAACTAGGAAACTTGGTTGGAAAAAATGTAATTTGGTGTGAAGGTTTGAAAAAGTTGGATTTTGGTTATATTGGTTGGAATTAATTGTACACTCACTTGTCAATTTGACTAACAA